ACACTGAAACCACTAATCGGTTTAATAAATAATAATAATCGATCAAAAATGTACCACAAATAGCATTATTTGAAATCGCTCCAGTGGATGAACGAGGGGATAAATGTAAATGACGTCCAGCAGAAGGATTTGAAGCATCTGCTGTCGACATCCATTTTGCTTGGCCATTTGTTGTTATGGCCTTGAAGGGGGAGTCCTTATGGCCCCGCAAAACCAATTGCACAGCAGCCTGGCAGGCAACCTCAACTTCCACCAACCGCCAGTCAAGTGTCCTGCCAGTGACTTCGACCAGGGAACGGGGTTAATCCAACCTGCCAGCTATCCTTGGCCATCTCGGTGTCACGCCTGCTTCCTGCCTCCTCCTCCTTCCCTAACCCTTTCTCCTCCCCCCTCCGACATCCTTGTCTGTCACTCAAGGAGTGCTCGCATCCTGTCCCGTTGATGTGCCAAGCCATTGTTATCGGGGCTATTACAAAATTCTAGAAAGCCAGTTTATGGTATAGCTTTGGACAAATTGCTTTTGAGGTCACCACTTATACGAGTTTAATCCAAGGAATACAAAATAACTTAAGCTTGGGTAATCCAGCTGATTTCAAATCTACCTTAATTAGTAGGTTAGTGGATAAGTTACTGTTTTGGGGAATAAATCATTAGAGTATCTATCTTTCAATAAATTAAAAAACTTAAAGTAAAAGCATGGTTCAACCTTAAAACCCTCCACCTTAAACACACGCGTTCTTTCTATTATGCATATCCAAGATACACGAAAGCAATTCCCACTAAAAGAAATCCGTGCTCCACAACCATCGCAATCCCACGCAGCTCGCAATGAAAACATTTGCAAATGTCGTCGTTTATTTTTTTAAGAGGAAGAAATGCGAAACAAAAGTGTTTTGATTGAATGGCATTTTCCGCTAATGGCGGAGAGAATATAAAGGGTTTATCAAGATAAGCGAGAAAAGAAATAAGACGACAGAAGTAGAAGCATGCTGGAGCTAAAGAAATAAACGTGAACTACTGAAACTAACTAAAGCAAAAGAAATTTATTTTAAATGAAATAAAACATATTCCTTCATTTGCTGCATAATTTATTATTTAAAACACTCTGCACTCAACTAGTCAAGCTTGACAAGACAATTAAACAATTATTCATACTGAGGCTCGCAGTAGAACGAAATCAAAATGCAAATAGATTTGTTTTCTCCCCAGCTGACCACGCCCACTCAGACGCCCACAATCAGAGCCGAAAAAGCAATCAACAAATATCAAAAACTTCGCTCATTCGTGTCATAAACAAAAAGAGCAAAAATTGCAGACGAGCGACGGAACCAATTCAAGTACAAAGGCCAGTTGGCAGTTCGACCTTCCCTACCACCCATCAACCCACCCACAACCCATTGCCACCCACTGGAACATCGGGTACTGGGTGTCGACTCACCAGGCCATGAATATTTTAGTAAATGCCGCGCAAGGCTTTGACTTTCCCACTTGGTCACCCGTGGTTCCTCACTATTTACCCACACAGCAAAAAAAAAAAAAAAAAAAGAAGAAGGGGAATGGCAAAGGGTTCTGTTTCTGGGGGATCCGACAATTTACGCCATTTTTGGGAAACTTTTCCTCTGCTTGTGCGTTCGTTGAGTTTTCCTCATTGCACCCCGCCATTTTTGTTTTTTTTTGTGATGTTGATGGGGGAGGGGGTGGTGAAAAAAATGTGCAAAGTTTGTTGGTGTCGTCGTCTACGGGGCATTTGAATTACGTTATTGCCTAGAAGTATGCTTTAGTATTTTGCGGTTGAAAAAGTTTCAATTGCTTGGGTCGTCGACATTGCGTTTTTTATTAAATAAATTGCAATGCCCCGGCACTTTCCCTCCATCTGTTTGCCGCTTTGTTATGCAAAAATTTCAAGTCAAAAAGGGTTGTGTCTATTTCTCCCCAGAGCCAACCAACTCACCCAAGTGTTGAAGTGAAAAAGCCGGCATTGAGTAAACAAGTTGCCAGCGTTTTTTTTTTCATGCATGTCCAAAGTGAAAGAAACTGGTTTTTAACTGGAGCAAGGGTGTCAAACGTGGAGGGCGACAGAGGACCCGCGGAAAGTTCATTAATTAATGAATCCGAGCCAGTCATTTGGGCTTCAAAATCCCAGTTCCTTGTGGACCCTTCGCTCTGGTTTATTTTTCTTGGAAGTCAATCGTTTTATCAGTCTAGTGCTCTCTGTACCACTTTTGCTAATAATTTGTTCTAAATTTAATCACTCTGAGTAACAATTAAAAATTTTTGAACTCCTTTTCAAAACTTATATGCTTACATTATAATAACATTGTTGAATCACATTTTGTTATTCTTACTTAATAGGTACATAAAATTGTTGGTCCTGTTTACTTTCGACTTTCGTCATAAAAAACTAATTAGAAACTAAAGAAGAAATTTTGTCTATATTTATACAAAAAAATTTTTGTTTTTTATTTTGTAACCGATTTTTTGTATGCAGCCATAAATTTGGCAGACAAGAAACTCGTGTCGGAAGCCATGCAAAGTCATTAACAGCATAATGCATAAGACCCAGGGAGGCGAACTCTTTATATCAATTTGGTAATCCCCGCCGCTTAGCACATATCCAGGGCCAGGACTCAGGATTCAGGAGTCAGGACCTCCATATAGGCGTACTTTGCGTGCCCAGAGGTCTTGTTGCGGTTGCTGCTGTTGTTTTGTTATCCCTGCAGCACAGACTTTTACCCGAACTCCAGTTGTTAGTCCTAATTAATTATCGCAATTAGTTAAATGCAGCCAAGGAGGAACTGGAATCATGGTTGCCGAGGGGAAGATAACGTCAGCTGACTGCGGCAAAAAATGAATTTTCTGCTTTCGTTTGCACGAAATGCTCAGATAATTCTCAGTTTTCCGTCTGCGTGTCGAGTTTTCATTTTCATTTCATTTAGTTTTTCCTGCAGTTTCCGGAAACTTTTCCCACTATTATTTCGCTTGTTTATTTGTTGTTTATACCCGTAATTGAATTGTTTAGCAAAGGCCGAGTAAACAGGGAGTCATGTGAAAGTCCTTAGGAAAAGGGTTTCCCTTTGTTTTCCTATTGAACTGGTCGTTTTTGAAAGATACCGTAATAATACAGTTTAAAAAGTGTTTGTTTGATTTGTTTGTCGAATAAGTGCAAACATGTTCTTCTATTTACTTTGTTACCTTGCTCATCCATCAACTATTTCTCCGGCAATTCTCATTGAAAATTCGAGACTCTGCAAGAAGCCATTGAAAATAATATCTAACATCAGTAAACAATCTGCATTTTCAGCTACAAGACAATGCATATAGGTTTCCATCCGAAGGATATAAGCACTGCCTGCAGGACCTGCGTATGTGTGTCTAAGGAATCGTATGCTGCACACATGACTGAACCCAAGGAAGGGGGAAAAAGGGGCCGAAAAGGAGGAAAGGGGGCAACAAAGTAGTTGCACAATCTGCACTGATAAATAATAAATCTTCAACATCGGCAGGGAGTCTCGAGGAGTCGGGTCCGCAGTCTGGTGTCCTGGCGACGATTCAACTGAAGCATAGACAGCCTTAAGTTTTGATATATTTGCATGCTGCAACAAAATGGCAACGCAGACAATGCGGGAAATCCTTGGTAATGAACTTTAATGGTGTCGTCATGAAATATTCGGCATATGCCAAAAGATTCCTGGGAGGAATGACTCCTGCTAAGTGCATCAAATAATCATACAAATATTGTCTGCGAAATGAGATAGTATATTAATTATTTGAAGCCAAAGGAAGTCATGCAAATATACATTTATCAAAACGGAAATATTAATATTCAAACAAGTGATTGAATATTTTGAGCTTAAGCTTGTTTGTATTTATACCAAATCGTATCTCTTAAATAAAATAAATCTAAACACTTTGGCAGCATCTACAAATTCTATTAGGTTCTTAAATTAAATTAGAGAATTGTTAATTTCTGTAACTAAAATCCCATTGTAAGGATCGCAGCTCGCAGTCAGATAATTTTGTGAATGTCCTGCTGTAAGTATTCGACAAGCAGGCAATAATAGCGTTTTGGTGTTTGCTCGGTGGCTGTGTTTTCACGCAGATAAGAAGGCGATGAAAACCGCTCCGTAACCAAGCCACAAAACTTTCTGCGACTGTGCCCAAGACATGGCAGAAGTCCTGCTCCTGATTTTCCATTTCGTCCTGTTGGTCCTGTTGGTGGCGCCTTTCGCTTTGACATAAAGCTGCAAGGCAAGCGGAAAGTTTTCGGTGTGCCAAACTTTTGGTCAATGCAGTTACACTACAGGGCGGAAAAACCAATGTGTATGTGTGTGTGTGTGTGGGTTTTATTTTTTATTTTTTTTTTTAATTTTTTTTTTTTTGTCTAGTTTGCGCTAGACTGGCGTGTAATATGAGCTAAGCGAGGTCAGCTACTAGCCACATTGTTGTTGGCCAGCGCGGCAGCCTTTATGCACATATACGCTTATAATTAAGCATAATATGAGCCAGATCCTGGACGCCAGCCTCCTCCGTTCCACGTGGTGGCTACTAAGTGTTGGCATGTGGTTTTTACTGTTGCCAGGATTGCGTCCTCCTTGTTGTTGGGATGTTCTGCATTTTGCTACTTTCCTTTGTTTAGGGTTTGCTGCGGCAAACGTGTCTGTGTTCCTGTGTGTGTTTGCATGTTTGTTAGCTTCGCTTTGCAGCATAATTTCCACAATTAACATTGCAATAAAGTTTTTACGCCAACAATTAAGCGCCGGCAAAGAAAGTTTAATTGGCAAATTTTCGGTTTAAACAATTATAACAACCAATTAAAAGAAATGTTTTGGAAATCAGGACGGTGCATTAAGAAAGGCCTTGCAGTTCGACTCTGATTATATAAAAATCAAGGTGAATCTTTTTTAAAATTTATAATTGTTTATACAAGCTTAAATACAGAGAGCGCCCTAAAAGGCAAGCCTAGATTTATAATTTAACTAAATTTTGATTAATACAAACCAGTACACTGAAACCAAATTGAAAAGGACTTTTTTATTACATCCTTTTTTATACGTATAGTGTATAAGTTTAGCCGATTGGACAATGTCGAGTCCCACATTGCAGAAGGATACAAATAGGCGGATGGTGAAATTCCAAATTGGAGACGGTTTTGACAACAGCCCCCCGAAAACACATCGAAACCAGAGTCACCTGCTCATCCAAAATGGGGAAAACTCGATGGCCAATCTCCCGACAACCAATCGAAACCAAAAACAGGAGCAGCCAAAGGAGGAAGAGAACGAGGATTACCGGCAACTGCAGAAGGTCTTCCAAAAGCTGGAAATGTCTGACCAGATAGTCCTTTATCGCGCCTACCGCCTCCTTCCCGCCGCCTGCTCCGCCCTTTGGCGCTCCACCCGCAAACGCCTGGACTTCCGAACGCTCCACAAGGAGCTCGACGTGGAGGCCCAGAACCATCTGCTCATCCACATGATGGAGCACTTCAAGTACGTTTACTTTGTCGCCGATAAGCTGCAGGTAAGAAAGCGTAGACCCATTAGGAAGTAACCCATCCTAAATACTTATCGGGAAGTTAAGTAGATTATGGAAAATGTAATAACCATATTTTTCTTGCTGATTAAAATTTTTGTTTGTAGTTTATATTTCTTATAATAAAATATATTGTATATTAAGTTCTTAACGAAATATTTTAATTTTCTAACAAACTGCATCATACGTTAATTTTTTAATTTAAATTTTATAATGAAAATTCAAAAAATGGGTTTTGCTGAAAACTTACTAAAAATTCACTTTTCTATGACCACAACTTTTCTGACATTTGTGACGATTGCAAGGGTATATGGTATAAGCTTCTTTTACCGCAGCTTCTCCTTTCTTTTTTATTAATTATTTTTTTCAGGATAACCTCAATGCTTTGGAGCGAGCAGGAGTCAAGTCACTTAATTCCGTTCAACGGTGTGAACTCTTATTGGATGAGGGAACCAAATCGGAGGCCAGGAACCAACATCACCCAGCTGGAGGAGATTCCTGTGGAGTAAAGGTAATGGCCCAGTGGCCCTCTGCATGCCTTGCCCAAACTTATGAGAAATGTGCGTCGTCTAAAGGCCCATTGCAACATCCAAGTGCACTTCATCGAGCACTTCGAGCATCTGGAACTTCTGGTTCTCTATGCAACCATATCGCAAACCGCTTTAACAGGAGTCCTGGAGAAATGTCAAAAGTTGTCCCGGTTGTTCCTGAAATTCGATTCCGATACCTTGAGCTTAAAATCTATTGATAAGTGTCTCAAGCTAAGAGATTTCTCACTTTCCATCGGACTCTTTGCTCAGCAAAGAGAATTGGTTATAAAACTAACTAAACTTCGTCTGCTGGAATTAACCCACTGCCAGAAAGATATTCAACTAACTTTGGAATGCCTAGATTTTGTATTATCCAACCGCTTAGAATCTGTAGAGTTGCTCCAACTAGATTGCAGTGGCTTTCAGGATCCCAGTTGGATGAAGGAAGTGGGTTTGGATAGGTGTTCCCAGATGCGAGCATTGGTTCTATTTAACTGCAAATTCTGCGATCGCGAGATCAGCCAATTGGCTTTACCGAGGGTTCAAAAATATATAGCCCTTAATAGCTGCCACGATATCAAGGAATATCAGGTGTTGGATATGGTTAGACGGTGTCCCGGTCTTCAGGAGATCTATTTGATTGATTGCCCCCAATTGAGCTGGAAGGTCCTGCAGGGAATTTACCGAATCCGCAAAAGTGAAAATCTCAATTACCCAATCACAGTGATTGTTAGTCAGTGTACAGAACTCAGGGAGGTCTATCAGAAAATGGTAGGTTTTTTTTTATAGGGAATGTTTTATAATTATTATTATTGATTTGTATTTATTAATAGTACTCCAACTACTGGTGCTTTAAGTTGGCCTATCTGAAAATTGAGCAAGTCCAAACTGATAATCGACCCATTGAGAATATCCAAGTATTTTTCAACAACAGTCCCTAATACAAAGCATTGTAGATTTCTTCAATTGTTGCACAAAGGAACATTTAAATATATATTGATTAACTTTCATAGAAATGCAAAGCAATTTCTTCATTCCTAAGCTAACAAAACTTAGAATAAACAAGTGGAAGGTAAGCTACGTATTAAATATTTTGAATTTTTTGTAAAAACCTTCAAAACTATTATCTGATTAAGGAGTTACTTTAAAATCCCCTTAAAAGAGAGACTTAATTTACTACTCAAGTTGATAAAGTTAATTTCCGTTAACCTCATAATAAGCCACACAAAGCAAATTTCCCATCCTCACCAGGACGAAAGCAACGAGTGAAACCATAAGGCATTTTCAGCTTATTACGGCTCATTTCACAAACATTTTTGTCCCGGAAAAGCGGAGAAAGCGGGGAAAAGCGGCAAAAAAATTCCGGACAAAGGAAGCCGAAAAGAATGGGAGTGAAGCCGGAGTAAACGAGGCATGCAGCAGCCAGTAATGGACAATGGCTCAACAAAGACATGTGAATTATGTCATCTATTGTTTCTAGATTACTCCAAGGAGCCAAAAAGCACATGGCTACATTTCCGTTGCTTTTCCCTCTACTCCACTTTTCCACTTTTCGATTAATTAAATTGTGTTTCGGTATCGCTTACTTATTGGATGTGCTGGAAGCCAATTAAATCCGCAATGAACCACGAAGTGCGTTAAATGAGATTTTAAGCTTTTGACAGATTGAATTTTGATTGGAAACTGAAGCTGTGGAATTGGAATTGGAATTGCAGTTATCGTTTGGCGACCGAGGCATTAATAAATTTCCAAGTACTGGGCTTCCGGTGTATGGTTTATGTTTTATGGCGCAAGTGTGTGCGATGGGGTAAGGAAGTGGAAGTGGAAGTGGATGTGGATGTGGAGAAGGGGGCCAAGATATTGTCCTGCTCCTGCCGTGCGTGAGGCCATAAAACACTGGAGAGTTATCGTCCTGGTCGCTCGCTAAATGCATTGGTATGCGTAACGTAACGAAAAACAATTAGCTGCGGCCAAATAAAAGTGGCTCACACGCTCCACACACTCAACAACTTAATACACTGAGAGAAAGTATTAATCTTATAATAAACATACATATTTGAATGGATTTTCCGTAGCAATATTGATGTTATTTTTAAAAATTGTAAATAAAACGTCCTCAATCCGCAATTCAATTTTGTTTCCCTTTTCTGCATTTAGAGCTTTTAAAAATGATATATTTTTAAAAAAAAAGGGTTTTCTTGAATAAAAAATTCTTCTACCAAACTAAACACATACTGTGTGTAGTAATTTCCCCAGTTCCAAAAGTGCCTTGTCGTGGATGACATGGACGACTACCCACTGATGCGAGTGTCCGAAGCACCTGGAGCCCACTGGTGCCATTTCATATAAAGTTCTTGTATAGCATTTAAGGATTTGACAGCATGCCGCTCTCGATGACCATTTGTCCGATTCATCGAGCGAGGCATCGATGGCTATACGAATTTTGTATGGAGAAAATTCGTATAAGCTATTGATGCTTTCGTTGCTGACGTGGAGGCGATGTTGTCATCTAGGCCAATGTCTAAAATGTCATCCCCAAATTCATATGAAAAACAATATATATATATATATTTTTATTTTATTTTATTAATTAATCTTATTTTGAAACATAAGAGATAAGTACATAAATAATATGAAATTAAAAAGTTTTTGTTTACCATTTATATGTGGTTACAAATTAAAATGGCTTCTGACGAATATTCGCAGGGCAGCATCTGTTTTGCGTCCGTCTCCCTTGAAATTGTATAAAAAATATTTTTATTATTACATATTATAGGTATATGACTTTTTGATTTAAAAGCAAACTTACCTTGCAAACGAATTTATCGTGCATACAGGCTGAATCCTAAAAGATTTAAATAAGTTTGTAGTAAAAAACATAATATTTTGTAATCTTAACAACACTTACATGATTTTTAAACGATTCCCCTGCCCGTTGCGCAAATTAAGTAATTTCACAACTAACTGTCAACGCACAACGCAAAAGAATGAGCAGTTCAATTTTACTTTTCACCCTTTTAGTATACCCTTCTTTTTGGGTATAACCGACCATAAATGACACGCGAGTTATATTATATCTATATTTGCAATCAATGTTATGTTATGGTTATCTTGGTTCAATAATTTAAATAATGTTGTATATATAAAATATATTATATATGTATATAACTTTATATATATATTATATTTAATATTTTAAGAACTTTAACATCAAAAGAGTATACATAAGTCGAGCGCCCCTTAGCCGTATTTTCCATCGAAAACCAATTTTTGTTTCTAACGGAGAATGACAACAGTGCAATTAGAAAAACGAAAGAATAGAAGACAAATTTGGAGTCGGGCCGCGGTCGGGTGCAAGCAACGAAATCGTATTATAAGAGTGAGAAAGAGAGGCAACTTAGGAATATTCCTTTTCCTTTCCTACACATTGATTGCTTGAATGCCACGAGACACCAGGTGACAGCCAGAACTGCAGGGTTATTTATCAGTGTATATGTATGGTACACATCATTGTTGTGATGGTAAAAACTTTGATATGGCTTGATTCGCTTGTTTCCTGCCCCGTCTGGGCCACGCCCACTTTTCTCCCCCGGGGGTCTTATCACTTTATACTTCGTCTGGAGCGGATTGGCTGGAAGAGTCATGTCCGGAATGACGAATTTCAGCCGGCTATTATGTTCACAACTCACTCGCTCGAAAGTCAACGGCAACTGGAATTGTTTGGCCGGGAAGCGTGTTCATTTTACTTTCTGATATTCAATTAATTGAAGTTTTATTTATCTGATTGCCAGTCGAGAAAGGTGGCGATGGGAGCCGCACATAAGTGAATAACGATAAACAATTAAAGTGTGGAAATTGATTGATTGCTGGAAAAGTTCGAACAAATTAACACACAACTCTGTTTGAATATAATTGGGAGAACAATAGGAAAAACTTTTTGCTTGAAAAAGAATATCGAGTTGCACGGATTTACGTAGTGATTTAACAGCAATTGGTAGGGATAATATCAACGAACTTTATAAAGGCTTACAGCTATATGTTATGATCTTTAAGCAATAGAAATCTACTTTGTCCTTTATCTGCATCATTTTTAATTTCCGTTTGTGGATCAATACATTCTAAATTCCGCGTCGCAGAAGAAGAAGAATTTAGATAGCAGCTTGCCGCTGTCCCCATTATAGTAAATTCCAAATAACGTAATCCCTTAATGCCTTTTTAGCTGCTACTGCTCGGAGTACGGGTACTTTAGCAGGAGCTTTAGCTCCTTTCAGAGCCAACTGCATCTCGAATTCCTTATTTACTTTATAGGTGCAGGCAAAGTAAACCAATACCGAAGCTATTTTAGTCGCTCACCGTGTTTCCTCATTTTTTTGCGCTTCTTTGAGCTTCTTACCCCGACTGACTTTAATCAGTGGCATTCTAGGATGTTCCATCCCCCCACCCCCTCCTCTCCACCCCCTGCATTTCGAACCCCCTTTCCTAGCCAGCGAACTGCCGTTGTCCTGCACTCAATTCGTTTTCTTTATTTTCCATCAGACGGAAGTCATGTGTGCCGGCTGCACATCCTTTATGCCGTGGCAGGGAACTGGAGCTTCGTCCCGACGACGAGGAGTCGTCTGCCAGCAGCAAGGACTTCTGCCGGACACACACACATATTTAAGCCATACCTATAGGGCAGATAATCGCTTTACAATCAGGCAGGAAACTATTGCAAGCATGATTGTTTCCGCGAAACGTGTTTGCAGTAGAGCATTTTCCCCCAATGCCAAGGAATAGGAAAAACAACTTTTACTCGTTGAGAACTTCAGTAAATAAATAAAAATTCATAATTTGTACAAAAACTGCTAAGCACCACCGAATGGCTTTAAATATTTACAGCAAATATTTATTATCTTGGTTTTTGAGTTGTTGCAAATTTAAGCGTCTTGATTTGCAGGAAATATTTAAAGGTTATAAATAAGTTGACTTGGAAATCGTTCCACTTAACTTGAGTAACGAGTACCACCTTTTCCACCTCCGAAGTAAACTATAATTACTATCCAACAAATCAGAATTTCCGACCTTACCAAAAAGGCAACTGTGGGAGTGAAACCGCAGACCGAAACTCAATTTCAAATGTCAGTCAAATAAGAAAAAGGCCCGCTGGGGAAAATTCGCCTGACTGAGGCCGACCGGGCCGAAACCGCAAATAAATTACTGGGCCACGTTAAAGATTTGTTAATAAAGATAAATTTACTTATCGTTTATCTTGATTATGCAAAAAGCCTAAGTGAAAACTCAAAGACCCCGGGATTTCGAGGTGGGATGAGGGCAACCGAAGGACTCGACAGAGGAGCACAAAAGCCAAAGACGCCTGTGGCAATTGAACGAGGAGGCCAACAAGCAGCAGATGGGCCTAAAACTTTTTCATTTCCTTCGGGCCAGCCCAACTGAATGGCCAACGAGAGTGATGAGGACGGGGTTGAGGATGAGTTTGCTGGGCTACGTTATATGGGCCATGAATAAACATAATACATATTGCACTGTTTTATACTAAATTAAATAACTTGCCGCTCGATCTCGGAGAAGCTGAACAGCTATTCTGGTCTTAGCATATTTGCCCCAGGCCAAGCCAGCTTTTTTTAGGAATTCTACTGTCATGGGAGCCAAGGCGAGTCTGGCCTGCCTGCTTGAATAGACCTGGCTTTGTCAACAGCTCCTGATTAAGTTCTTAACGGGTCCTTTCGCCAAGGAGCTTTTTCTTTTAAAAGAATGTAGCTCCTTCCTTTTTTTTTTGTTTGCAAAACCTTGGTTGTGGGGCCCCTAACGAACGTTTGCACTTTGACATGGCATTAAAAAGATTCACAAATGATGCACAAAATTGCTCATATATTATTGCTAATTCTTTGCTAATCGAATAGGAAATCACACAGGCTGATCAAACAATCTATTAAATTACACAGCATAAAAGAAGAATTGCTGTATATTATTTCATATATATTAAACAACAATTTTAGCTATTAAGCGCATTC